AGCGGAAGGACGCAAGGGGGCCTGCGTGTTTATTGTCTGCGCGGCTGGTTCCCGGAAAAGATGATGGGCGGTCCTGGACCGGGGCGGGGGACGGCGCGGCGCGTTTGGGTGAAGAAGTTTAGAAATCCCCTCAAGTCGCTATCGCCAGGATTTCACTGGGGGGGGGGGTGTTACTAAATGAGCGATGCCCCGTGCTGGGTGATGACTCCCAAATCTGCTATATTTCTGAGGACCCCATCGCGTGTAAGTGGCACTTTAAGGAAAAAGACCTTACCACGTCAAAGGTTCACATCACCAGCAACATAGGTCTACACACTTGTACATGTAGGGGCAAATTCTCCCACCCGCCCCCGTTGCTCTCCTCACCCCGTTTTATAATAGAGGAAATACGGTATTTGCCCAGCCCGGACCCTTCCAGAATTCTAGGTCATCTCTGCAGATACTTTTCCACTCTGAACGTTTCAGAAACTCAAAGTATTTTCCCCCTCAAGTACTACCCGCTTCTATATGTGATTTCCTTCGTTTTTTTCCCAACTCCTCAATCCCTAGCTGCTCAAAAGGATCCTTTTACTCAATGAACTTAATGGAAATATGGCCAGTTAAGTTTACTTGAATGTATTCCGGATTGCAGGGCAAAAGTTAGACATTTTCTTTGAGTCCTCTCTTTTCCTTTTGTGCCTTATACAAAATATTAGTAAATGCTGTCATCTCTATCCTCCAATTCTACACCATTTCCCACTCTGATTCCACTCAAATTCAATCTGCTCCCTTCTTCCTCTCCTCCTCCTCCTCCTCTTCTTCTTCTTTCTCCTTCTTCAAGAGACAGGGTCTTACTCTATTGTCCAGGCTGAAAGGCAGTAGCACATCATGACTCACCACACCCGTGAACTCCTGGGCTCTAGTGATCCTCCTACCTCAGCGCCCCAAGCTAGGACTGCAGGCATTTGCCACCATGCCTGGCTGATTTTTTAAATGTTTTTTAGAGACAAGGTCTTGCTATGTTGCCCAAGCTGGTTTCAAATTCCTGGGCTCAAGAAATCCTTCTGCCTCCACCTCCCAAAGTTTTGGGATTACAGGCCTGGTTCCACTCTCTTCTTCTTTTTTTTGAGTTGGAGTCTCACTCTGTTGCCCAGACTGGAGTGCAGTGGCCGCTCCTGGCCACCGCAGCCTCCACCTACTGGGCTCCAGCGATCCTTCCGCCTCAGCCTTCCGAGTAGCTGGAACTACAGGTGCGTGCCACCACATCCGGCTATTTATTTATTTATTTATTGTAGAGATGAGGTCTTGCCAAGTTGCCCTGGCAGGTCTCGAACTTGTGGGCTCAGGCAATCCAGTCACCTCAGCCTCCCAAAGCATGAGATTACAGGCTGAGCCAACGAGCCCAGCTGCACTCTCTTCTTTTGTTTGAATGACAACTAGCTTCTTTTTCTGAATTTTTTTAATTTTAGAGATGTGGGATACAATTCAGGGCTAGGTATACCAATGTTCATTATGCAGATACCCTTGTTGTTGAGGTATACTCCCCTCCTCCCCTGGCAGTTTCCCACTACTGCCAATTTCTTTCTTATCATTTTATATTTGTTCAAGGTCCACGTATGAGTGAGAGCATATGGTACTCAGTTCTTTGTTTCTGTGATAGATCACTCAGTAATATAGACTCTAAGTTCAACCAAGTTGATGCTAAGTTCATAATTTTGTCCTTCTTTATGACTGCATAAATATTCCATTGTGTATATGTAGGAAAAAAAAAAACAAAACAGCCCCAATACAAAGTGGGCAAAAGATTTGAAAAGATACTTCTTTTCATGAAAAGAAGATATACAAGCAGCCAACAGATACATGAAAAAATGCTCAGCCTCACTAGTCATCAAGAAATGCAAATTAAAACCACACTGAGCTACCACCTAACTCCAGTCAGGATGACCATCATCAATAACTCAGAAAACAACAGATGCTGGAGAGGATGCAGGGAAAAGGGAACACTTCTACATAGTTGGTGGGAGAGTAAACTAGTACAACCTCCGTAGCAAACAGTTTGGCATTTCCTAAAAGATCTGAAAATTGACCTTCCATGTGACCCTGCAATCCCCTTACTGGGAATATACCTGGAGGAACTCAGATCACTCTATGAAAAAGATACCTGCTTATGCATGTTTATTGCAGTATTATTCGAAATAGCAAAAACATGCCCATCGAAGAGAACTGCATTAAAAAAATGTGGTACAGAGACAACTAGCTTCTTACTGGTCTTCTGCCTTTCGCATTGCTGTCACCTCCACCCTCACTAGTCACACAGCAACCAAGGTAATCTAAAAGAAAATTAACAGATTGAATACTTTCTTGCTTAAAACACTCCAATGATTCCCCAGCATACTTGGAATAAAATTCAATATCCTTATCATGAATTATAAAATCTTACAGGATCCAGCTGCTGGAAGTCTCTCTGATCATCTCTGTGACAAGGTTTGATGCCACATGCCTTTGATCTTCTCCCATAACGCCAAGTTTGTTCTTACTTTGGGGCTTTACACTTTTTTTTCTGTTAGGACTGCTCTTCCCTCTGGATCTTCAAATGACTGCCCCCTTCCTATCTTTGAGCTTTCTGCTCAGGTACTTCTCCTCCCTCAATATTATCACTATTCCCTTACCATTAATTGAGCACCTACACTCTGCAAGTTACCAGGAGCTAGAGCAGGACCAAGTGTCTGCCATCTTGAAACTTACATTCTAGTTGAGACAAGGAACAAATGAGATTATGACAATGATAAAAGTAAAGCAAGTTAAAGGAGATAGGAAGTACTAATAGGGTGGATGGGATTTTGTTTCATATATTTGATGATTAAGAAAAGACTTGTTAATAAGTTGACATTTGAAAAGATCCTAAGGAAATGAGAGCAGTGGAAAAAGACTAGATATATATCAAAGAATGATCTAAAGTATTGGATGTGGACATAAGAATCAGCTAAAAGTCAATGATGACTGGTTCAACAACCGTAAGAACAGAGTAGTTGTTTGTTAAGATTAGGACGATTTCAGATGAAATGGGGGTGGGCAGAACTTTTTTCGAGGGGGTACAGGAAGTGAGAATCAATTGTTTTACTTTAGACATGTTACATTTGAGATTTCTGTTATTATCTAAATGGATATTTAGAATAAGCAGCGGGATTTGAGAATCTGGTATTTAACAGAAGAAGCTCTAGTTCAAGATATAAATTTTGCAGATGTCAACATGTAGATGATATTTAAAGTCCTGAGACTGAATGACATCACTAACAATGACTATAGGTAGTGATGAGGGAAGGTTCAAAATTGTACCTTGGAGCTCTCCAGCGTTTAGAGGTTCAGGAGAGGAAGAGGAGCCAGCAAAGCAGATGAGAAGCAACTGTAACCAGTGAAGTGGGATGAGAATCAAATAAATGTTGTGACCCAGAAGCCAAGTGACAAAGGAGTGTCTTAAAAGAAGAGTGTGATCAACTGGGTCACATGCTGCTAAATGGTCAGGTGAGATGAGAACAGAGAGTTGACCACTAAACATGACAATGCCATGTTATCAGTGGCACAGACAAGAGCTATTTCTGTGGGGTAGTGAGTATGAAAGTGCTTAGGAGTGAAGATGTAGAGACAGATAGGCAAGGAATGGATTCAAACACTCCAGGAATTTTGCTGGACAGAGGAATGAAGAGAAGGAGCAGCAGCTCAAAAGGAGTTTGGTTTTTAAGAAGGGAGATGTTGTTGTGTGTTTGTATGATGAAGGGGTTTTATCGGCCGAGAGGGGAAAACTGATGATGCAAGAGAGGGAGTGGAAATAGCTGAAACCAATCTAAAATAGTTATGTCAAATTGGGCTCTTCATAAGCAGAAGCTGAAACAAAATTTGAGACACCAGATGTTTGTTAGGGGTCAAGACCTGTGAAAGGAAGGAGAAAAAAGCAAGATTCCGCAGAAGAAGAGGTCAAACTGCAACGTTGACTTGAGAGAGCCACTGCCATCCCTGTGGGGAGCTCTGGAGTGAGTACTGCTCTTCAGCATCCCCTGAGTAGCTGAGCTTTTATACCTCCTAATTGCTCAGACATTGCCTGCAGGCAGCCCTACACAGGGTAGGACCTTGGGTGAGGTGACACTACCTTGCAGACCCTGAAGGAGCTGAGGGATGGAGGCTGTCTGCTGACCACAGGCTCTGCAGCTGGGAAGCAGATCCTTTCTTGAAGAGGCCTCTGGTTGGCACATCTCCAGATGTGCCACAGGAGATGAGAGGAGTTGAGACCTAGTGTACATGTGGAA